CTCCTCTTCTTTCCACTGTTTTGTTGTCCATCTGGCCACGATAAGAACTTAGAAACTAAGAGTTTCCTGTGTTTGCTTTTCCTCCCCTCTTTTATCCCACTCCCTTTTCTATTTCTATGAGCTGTTTTTTAAGAGTGTAGCCATATGGCCAGGAATGATATTATTATGAATCTTTGTAAGCCATTCTGGTTGCTCTTTAGCTGAAATGCAGAGCAGAGTGGAATGTGCATGGAGATATGTACCCTACATTTGCATGATGCTGCATCCTGATGGCATCTGCACCATAAAGCATGTGTGATTTATGCATGTTTTTGATTTAACTGTGAAGATCCACATGCAGAAATTTTTCTATTGCTAGGAAATGCCTAATGCAAGGGTGTCAAACTCAATTTCATTGAGGGCCGCATCAGCATTGCGGTTGCTCTCAGGGGGCCGGGTGGGTGTGGCCAGGGTGGGTGCGGCCTACTGGGTGGGCGTAGATGGAGTGGGTGTGGCCTACTGGGTGGGTGTGGCCAGCTCTACATCGTTCACATCAAGGGTGCCTGTGGGGGCCTGGGCAGGAGTGGGACAGATCTGAGGGTCTCTGGCAGAAGGGGGTGGGACCAGGGCAAGTGCCAAGGCATGGTCCACTGGAGGAGCCTCACTGTTCCTCTCAGGCCATGCGGGGGGGGGCTTATGGAGCTAAGACTGAATGCGTTTCAGCATAGATGACCACTACAAAATTGTACATTGGCTCCCAGCTGGCCTGGGCCAGGGCCAAGGCAGAGGGGGCTGTTCCCTCACTGTTTCCAGGATGGCTTCGCGGGCCACATGAAACCACTTTGCGGGCCGCATCTGGCCCCCGGGCCTTGTGTTTGACATGTCTGGTCTAATGCATTGGGTCCATTTGGGGAGGGTCACTGCTGTGACCCACGAGAATATACGATTTTGCTGAAACATCAATCCATGGCTGGCAGCTACTGCCACATCTTAGGTGCACATTTAAATAATATATACAAGATTATGCATCTAGTATCTGCCACTATCATGGGGTGATCCAAGGCTGGATAACTAGAGGCACTCTAATTAGGAGGTGTCAAATTCCCTTTCTGAGCTTGTTTTTGCCCCTCAATGCAATTGCCTCTTTTCCATTAAGAACAGCAATGATGAGACAAGAAAAACATTGCACTACAACATAAGGGGGATGTGACAAAAGGGATTATGCCAGATATAAACCTGGAGACAGGAATGGAAGATTTGTATTATGCTGAGGTTTAGTGGGAATTTTGTGAACATGGTACTGTAGATCCCATGTACACACACACACACAAACATATATGTGGGATTCCCTGGAGATGTCATTTGATGTTGATGTC